AACAAAGAGTGTGGCAGAGATGAGGAAGGATATTACACAATGATAAGGGGCTCTATCCAACAACATATACAATTGTAAACATACATGCACCCAAAATAGGAGCACCTAAATATATAAAGCAAATATTAACAAACATAAAGGAAGAATTTAAAAATAATACCCCACTTACATCAGTGGATAGGTCATCCATACAGAAAATCAATAAGGAAACACTGGCCTTAAATGACACATTAGAACAGGTGGAGATAAACACACACACACACACACACACACACACACACACACACACACACACACACACACAGAACATTCCATCACAAAGCCGCAGAATACACATTCTTTTAAAATGCACATGGAACATTCTCCAGGATAGATCACATGCTAGGCCACAAAACAAGTCTTAATAAATTTAAGAAGACTTAAGTCATATCAAGCATCTTTTCCAACCATCATGGTATGAGACTAAAAATCAACTACAAGAAGAAAACTGCAAAAAATACAAACATGTGGAGGCTAAACAATATGCTACTAAACAACCAATGGATCACTGAAGAAATCAAAGAGGAAATTAAAAAATACCTAGAGATAAATGAAAATGAAACAAAATGATACAAAATCTATGGGACATGGCATAAGTAGTTATAAGAGGGAAGTTTATAGTGATACAAGCCTACCTCAGGAAATAAGAAAAATTTCAAATAAACAACCTACCCTTACATCTAAAGGAAGTGGAAGAACAAAGAAAACTCAAAGTCAGTAGAATGAAAGAAATAATGAAGATCAGAGAAGAAATAAATGATAGACTAAAAAACAATAGAAAAGATAAACAAAACTAAGAGCTGGTTCTTTGAAAAGATAAACAAAATTGATAAACTTTAGCCAGACTCATGAAAAAAAAAAAGGGTATAAATAAATAAAATCAGAGATGGAAAAAGGTAAGTTATAACTGTTATCACTGAAATACAAAGGATCAAAAGAGATTACTACAAATAATTATATGCCAATAAAATGGACAATCTAGAAGAAATAAATAAATTCCTACAAATGTACAATCTCCCAAGACTGAATCAGGAAGAAATTGAAAATATGAACAGACCAATTACTAGTAATGAAACTCAGCCAATAATTAAAAAAAAAAACCAAAAACCAATAAACAACAGTTCAAGACCAGATGACTTCACAGGGAATTCTACCAAACATTTAAAGAAGAGTTAACACTTTTCCTTCTCAAACTGCTCCAAAAAACTGAAGAGGAAGGAATACTTCTTAACTCATTTCATGAGATTAGGATCACCCTGATACCAAAACTAGACAAATACACCACAATAAAAAGAAAATTATAGGCCAGTATCACTGATAAACACAGATGCAAAAATCCTCAACAAATATTAGCAACCTGAATCCAACAATACATTAAAAGGGTCATACACCATGATCATGTGAGATTTATTCCAGGAATGCAAGGATGATTCAACATCTGCAAATTAATTCACATTAACAAATCGATGAATAAAAATCATATGATCATCTCAATAATGCAGAAAAAGCTTTGGACAAAATTTAACATTCATTCATCATAAAGACTCTCCACAAAGTGGGTATAGAGGGAATGCACCTCAACATAATAAAGTCTACCTATCAGAAACCCACAGCTAACATCATACTCAACAGTGAAAAGCTGGAAGCATTTCTTCTAAGATCAGAAACAAGACAAGGATGTGCATACTCACCATTTTTATTCAGCATAGTGCTGGAAGTCCTAGTCACAGCAATAAGACAAGAAAAAGAATAAAAATAATCAATATTGGAAAGAAGAAAGTAAAACCTGTTACTGTTTGTAGATGACACTATAACATATACAGAAAATCCTAAAGATGCCACTGAAACACTATTAGAACTAATAAATGATTTTGTAAAGTTGTAAGATACAAAATTAACATAGAGAAATTTTTTGTGTTTCTGTATACTAACAATGAACTATCAGAAAGAGAAATTAAGAAAACAATACTATTTACAACTGCATCAAAAAGAATAAAATACCTAGGAATATATCTAACCAAGGAAGTAAAAGACCTGTACTTGGAAAACTCTAAAACACTGAAGGAAACTGAAGATGACAAAAACAAATGGAAAGATATACTGTGCTCATGGATTGGAAGAATTCATATGTTAAAATGACCATACTACCTAAGGCACCCTACAAATTCAAAGTAATTTCTATCAAACACCAATGGCATTTTTCACAGAACTAGAATAAACAATTCTAAAATTTGCATGGAAACACAAAAGACCATGAATAGCCAAAATAATCTTGAGAAAGAAGAACAAAGCTGGAGGTATCATGCTCCCTGACGTCAAACTATACTACAAAGCGATAGTAATCAAAACACTATGGTACTAGCACAAAAAGAGACATGCAAATCAATGGAACAGAATAGAGTACCCAGAAATGAAACCATATTACACGGTTAATTAATCTGCAATAAAAGTGTCAAGAAAATACAATGGGGAAAAGATATCTTCTTCAATAAATGGCATTGAGAAAACTGAACATCTACATGTAAAAGAATCAAACTGGACTATTTTCTCATACCATATTCAAAAATAAACTAAAAATGGATTAAAGACTTAAATATAAGACCTGAAATCATAAAACTTCTAGAAGAAAACATAGGCAGCGGATACTCTCTGCATTGGTTTTAGCAATATAGTTTGGGATAGATGTCTTCAGGCAAGGGAAACAAAAGCAAAAATAAACAAATGGAACTACACAAAACTAAGAAGCTTTTGCACATCAAAGGAAGCTATTAACAAAACAAAAAGGCCACCTACTGAATGGGAGAAGATATTTGCAAACGATATATTTGGTAAGAGGTTAATATCCAAAATATACAAAGAATTCACACAACTCAACATCAAAAAACAACCCGATTAAAAACTGGGCAGAAGACCTGAATAGACATTTTTCCAAAGAAGACATACAGATGGCCAGGCACGTGAAAAGATGCTCAACATCACTAATCATCAGGGAAATGCAAATCAAGACCACAATGAGATATCCCCTTACATCTGTCACAATAGCTATTATCAAAAAGACAAGAAGTAAGTGTTGACAAGGATGTGGAAAAAAGGAATCCCTTGTGCACTACTGGTGGAAATGTAAATTGACAAAGCTACTATGGAAAACAGTTTGGAGGTTTTCCTCAAAAAACTAAAACTAGAGCTACCATACAACCCCAGCAACTCCACTCCTGGGTACTTTTTCCAAAGAAAACAAAAACACTAATTTAAAAAGATATATGCACCCCTATGTTCAATGCAGCATTATCTACAATAGCCAAGATATGGATGCAACCTAAGTGCCCATCAATTGTATGTGGAGTAATAAACAAAACAAAGAAACAGGCATAATAAAACATGAACAGACTCATAGAGAACAAACTAGTGTTTGCCAGAGGGGAGAGGAGTGGGGATGAGTGAAAAAAGTAAGGGAGATTAAGAGGTACAAACTTCCTGTTATCAAGTAAGTCACAGGGATGTATGTACAGCATCAGGAATACAGTCAATAATACAGTAACTTTGTAAGATGACAGATAGTAACTAGACTTACCATGCATAAAAAATATCAAATCACTATGTTGTATACTTAAAACTAATACAATATTGCAAGTCAATTATACTTCAATAAAAAAAGAGGTACAAACTTCCAGTTACAAAATAAATGAGTCACAGCGATGAAATGTACAGTATGATGAATATAGTCAATAATAGCTTCTGTATGGTGACAGATAACTAGAAAAAAATTAAAAAAAAATTTTCCCCCTTAAAATGAATACATACTCCTTGTGTAACATGCGCTATTAATGGCATGGCTCTGAAATAACAGGCACTGTTAGCAGCATGGTCCATGAAAGCAAGGCTTTCCACTGAGAGACTGGGAGATGGCTTCCCTGTGCTCTAGTCTAAGAATGCCAAACGTGAGTCAAGCTAGAACCCAGGAAAGGAGCCACTTAGGCTGTTTCTAATCAAAGTGGGACTAGAAGCAAAAGATGTTTTGAGTCTTCTCAATTTTACTAATTATGCAGATCCTTATTGTTTGGGATATCTGCTTTTCTCTTAATCATATTTATCCATTAAAAGTCTTATTTGATTATCTAGTCTCTCTATATTTTAAACTCCCTACTCTTGTATGGGAAGTCAGTGTGTGAGCAGACTAACTAACTGACTACCTTTAACGGAGTACTTGGTGTAAGAGCCAGGTGCCAAGGGCAATGAAGAGGAAATGGAGCAGAAGCTCCTCTTGTGTTTCTGTTCTTTCCTTACCATCCTAATGCCCCAAAGTGAAGCAGCTCATCTGCCTTCCTATCAGCATTAAATGCATGGACCTGAGGGATACATTACATCCCAGAACAAAATGTTTGTCTAATAAAAACCATAAAATTTGAGAGGAAAAATAATGTGCCGAAACAAATAGAAAAAGAGCTTCCTTTCTTCCCTCCTCCAAACAATTTTCTAAGTATGAAAGGCTCTAAAAAATGGTAATCCCATTTCTGTCCTGAAAGTAGACATCCCCAGATCTGAAGGAATGCTAGTCATAGCACATCAATAATTAAATGCGCTTGTTCCAAGCCCTACTGAGAAATAATGCCAATTATCTCAAGGCTTCCTACTCTCTGAAGTTGTTTTCCATGGCTGTCACTTTTAGCACTGTTAAAAGACTGCTCACTTACCTTAGGGTTAAAACAATCCCAGCTGATGTTAGGAAGCCAAGCACCAACACACAAGGAATGCTGACACTTAGCTGAAAGCTGGGCAGTACAGGGAAGGTGGTGGACTCAAGACACTAAGGCTGATTCTGGAGAAGAGATTCTCTCCTGCATCTCCCCCCTGCCCCCGCCCCTCACACCACAGAAAAGAGAGCTGATCCTAACAGATGTACGGCAGATTGTGTACTTCACGAAGAGTAAAACACAAATTTAAGATTCCAACATTATAAAATTATTGGAGAACATGGAGAAATATCTTTATTCCTCCATCTTATTTTATTCTGGCAGAGAGTTAGTGCTTGGGCAATAACAGCATTTGACCCCAGTTTGTGGAGATTTTATAACTTTAGTCACTTGTCCAACCCAAGTACGCCCTTTGTTGCTCAAACTCTCATTGTCTTTTTACATAATAGATAAATTTATTTACTGCATTTTAGACATTTTATTTGTCTTATTCTAACATTAAGCTCTGATAAGTACAAAAGGCTCACAAATACAAAAACTTCTTTATAGCTCTGTGGTAATTAAAAAACTCACGAGAACAAAACAAATTTTAAAGCTGGGCAATATTCATCTTAAATATGTGAGGGACAATCTTCAAGTGTGACTGTAAAAATGGCAAAAACTATTTCCTTGTGATTACGTTAAAATTATGTAAAAGATGACTTTTTTCACTTGTTTCAGGAAATCTGTCTCTCGACATTTAGTCTGGATGGAGTCTTTACCTATATTTTGCTATGAAACCCAATTCCCTGCCTCTTCAGTGCTTCAATGTTGACACCTTCATCTTCAGCCTGTGATGCTCTGGCTAGAGGAGGATGCTGACACCAGCTTCTGAAGCAAGAAAAGCCAGATTTAGATTTAGAGTAATGTTAAAAAACAAACAAAAAAAGGAATGCTGAATTTTTTTGTATCAGCATTAACTTCTCTTTTTGTAAGGATTTAATTTTCATGCTCACACTGCAGATGATGAGCTTTTATTTGATGAACTTCTATTTTTAAAAAATATTTAAAAAAATTTTTTTCTGAAACAATTAATTCTTCCTATCCGTAGGACTCTGAGTAAAATGACGTCCTGGAACAGGGCAATTCCAAGTTTATTTTTCTGTTTTCTTACCTAATAACTTGTTGCACACAGAGAACTGAGCTCTTCAAGGTCTTCAGCAGCTCTAGGTATGACTGAGATAAAAAAAAAACAAACTTCCTTTTATTTAATCATAGACAATAAAAATATTGCCAGGATGTTGGAGATATGAAGCCCAGACAAACACCGGGAAGTGATATCAGAAGCTGACTCACAGCTTAGATTTTTTTTTCCTCTGCTTAATGAGAAATAGATTATCATTGCCATCCTCCTCCAAGCAGCTCTCCTTTTTCTTATGCTTGCCCCGCTTGCCCTCTTTGGGCAGCTTGTCTTCTCTTGGCTTGTGGGAATGCGATGAGTAATGGAAGGGCTTGTGAGGCTTCTGGGTTTTGAAAGTACCAGGAGAAGAGTGGACCTTGGGGCCCCTGGGAAAGTCCTCATCCACTTCGTGACACCTGTCAGCCTTCTTGTGCTTTTCACGCTCTCTGTTGTTCCTGCTTACGGTTTCTTTCTGGGTTTCTTTCTTTTCTTGAGGCCACCTGTTGTTTTTCCATGAGGCTTGGCTCTTCCTCACATCATGGTGGGGCCTCCTATCTGCTGCTTCCATATGAGGCCTCTTGAACTGTCTTGGAAAATCCCCATTTTTCTGGAGTTCTGAAAAATATAGAAGTATTTTTGCATATTCAGCAGGAAGACAGTCCGTGCAGAGCTTTCATAGGTCTGTGAATAACTCCACAGGGAGGAAAGCCAGATATTTAAATGCGTTAATGATACCACATTCTGAAGAATGCTTACTAAGGTAAAAATCACTCACTAAAACTTGAATGGCTGTAGTTCTATTTTTCTGAGTGCTAAACATGGAATAAATCCAGAAATCCAATGATATTTATTCTGTTCAATACAGTTTAACTAGGTTAAAAAATGGAGACAAGGACCAGTGAAAGCAGTAATCACTTCAGCTTTGTGAAGGAAAGTCATGTCTGACCAATTCAAGTTCCTGCACTGATAAAGAGACAGCCCTTGATGATAAGGTGAAACAAGATGTATAAAATGGCTTTTTGACAGTCTCATATGACATTTCAATTATCCTCTGAAGATAAAGTATGGCCATAGTATTTATAGGTGGATACCATGCTGGACAGGAGATTATTCCTCCAGAGTAGAGTTCACTGGCTTGGACAGTGAGTTCCTGTGCACACCCCTGTGTATCTGAGAGGTTTATGTGCCAGATCTGATGTTACATTTTGTCGGGACTTAGCACACTCCCACTACAAGTGTCTGATGGTAGTGATTCTGATGGGATAAGTGGGAGATGAGGTTACAGTAAGGGAGGAAAACTAAACTGTCAACAGTACCTTGAAAGATTAAAGAAGTCACCAATTGAAAAAAAAATGGGATGGAGTACTAAGTAGTATATTTAGGGGACAAAAATGAATTCTAGAATAAAAATAAGTAATTACTTATAGATGTTAGTATAAAATATAAATTCCAATTGATCACAGCAAGCCTCGAAGTGGATCTGTGCCATACAGTTGTCAATATAACATTTAAAAAGGAGAACAAATGGTTTTTCTCTGATTATAAAAGTCATAAATGCTCATTAAAGAAAATCTGGGAAATACAAAAAAGTGTAAAGAAAATTAAAAAAAAATGCACCCATGATCTTTTAATCTAGAGATGACATTTTGATGCAGTTCTTTTTAATCTTTTTAAATTTAGTTTGCTGATCATTATCTTCATGTATTATAATTTCTCTATATATAGTTGAGATAAATTTTACATAAAATTAAATATGTAAAATATGCAGGAATTGAGAAGTAATTCCTCTACTCTTCCCAGAATTGCTATCTTCATTTTGAAAGGACCTGAATTCAGAGAAAGAGAGGTAGAGAAAATAGACTTAAATTATAAAATAATTTGGTGAGAAAGAACATTATGTTAGCAACAGCAAATAAGGAAACTACAGAGAGTGGCTGTGGACCTGGAGCTCTGCTCATAATGGTGGCCAATAAGAAATGACCTCTTTGGCGAAGCTCCTGGAACTACCAGGAATCATCTAGTAGGGAAAACTTTTGATTGAAAAATAGCAGAGACACAAAAAGGGAAAAAAAATTACTTGTTGAACAGAAAAATCTCAAAGGGGCTTTTAAAAATTCTGCATGCATGTACAGATAGAAGTATTTTCTGGACATTTTCTAAAATGATCATTATGCAAGAAAAAATGCTCATTGTGAATAGAGTACAACACAGGATTTTTTTAAATGGGTGCTTGATTTCTAGAGATCAAGAAAGTTCCAGTTTCTATAGTAATTATTAAAAACATTTTTGGTGCTAACCAAAGACCCACAAAACAGGCAAAGACAGTGCGAAAAAAGAAGTTTAGGAACTCCTGCAAAGGTGATCTAGCAAGATGTCTAATAACATACCTTTTACTTTTCGTTTTATTCTCTGATCTCTCTCCCGGATTTCATATTTGTCATCATAGTAGTAGATGAATGGAGATGTTGGAAAGGTCTGGTTAAACATTCGTCTTTCTGTACATTCCTGCAAATTGTATTTGAAATTATGATGTCACAAGGTCACACTGTTCAGATAACCTTTTTTTGGCAAAATTATGGACCACTATAATTAGAGATGAGCCCCACATCACTGATACTCACACTGTAGCTGCAGGCTGTGGTCTCGCTGGGACTCTGGAAGGATCAGCCAGCCCGACACTCAATTGTGCTTACATGCTATTCTTCAAAGTTTAGATTTTCTTTCTTTACTTCTTTATCTATGAAATCCTTCTTATTTTTTTTTAATCTTCCCTGCCAACCCCCTCCCCTAGCAATGCCTTATACCTCTGTTAGAGGGTTTATTTTATTCAGCTTTATACTGTATGAATCCTTTGCTTATTTGTCTCTTCTAAAGCCTTCAGTCAAGTGCTTCTCCTTTTCTTCTTCCCTTCACATTTATACCCCTAAATATGGGAGTAAATTCTTAGCCCTTTCCTCTGTTCCCTCCACACAAGTGGCTTTTGCAAACTTGTTCTAAGTCAATACTCACTGCTCACAAGGGCAGTGATTCTTATGGTGGGGAGCAGGGTGGTAGTGGTTTGTGTCTAGTTTGAAAATGCTCCTAGGTATTTTGAAGGAAATCTCTGTTTTCCTTGCTCCCTCTATTCAAGATGAGGTCGCTCCTCTTACTCCCCCTGGACAGCTCCCCACTCTCATGACTCTGGCCTGCCCACAGCTGCTAGTTCCCAAGTCCACATCCTTGGCCTGAGCCATGCCCCAAGGAGCAGGCTTTGTTTGTCCTGACCTGTGACACACATTTATTCAGCTTGTCTGAAACCAAATAATGTCTTTTATATGAAAGAGGTTTCCCTTTGAAACTTTCCCACTTCTGTCCTCTGTCATCTTGCCTAAATTTATTACAAACATTCTTCTTAGTTAGGTACTGAAGAAAAATTAAAATACAGCTATCTCCTGCTTTTCAAAAGTTCGCTTTACATCGCTTTGCTTTGTGAAAGAGCTATATTAGCACCTGTTTTCACTAACAAAGAAATACAAAGAGGACTTTCACTTTTACAAAAAAAGGTGAAAAGTTAAAATGGCAGTTTAGCGTTTGTTTTGCAGCAGACATTACGGAGGCAGTGAGCACCCGGAACAGTGAGAGTTGCGCCACCAAGCTCCTTCCCCAGGAACTACACACAGAATCCCAGCATCAAGCCACCACAGCTTTGAACTGTGTCTGTGAGCATCTGTCATTTATCTCCCTTTATTTTGTGCATCTGTTAACGAGATGGGTCCTAAGGTAATTGTTTCTTCACTTGACAGCCACTTCAGCTTAGGAAAGGTTTCATAGGAACGCCCAAGTTTCAGATTGTGGGGGAAATTTGTACCTCTTAGGAAGAAAGTACATGAAATATCTGCATAGAATTTAGCTGATTATCATAACTTTGTCATTATATACTCAACTTGTAATTCTAAGATATCAAAGCTGATAGCCATACACATAATTTGTAGATTTAAAAAACTAGGAATCATTCTAAATACACACTTACATATAGAAAATAAAGTAATGGAGGGAAAGAAAACCTATTTCAAGAAATAATGGCTGAAAACCTTCTTAATCTGGCAAAGGAACCAGACAGCCAAGTCCAAGAAGCACTGAGTCCCAAACAAGATGAACCCAAAGAGACCCACACCAAGATACATAATTAAAATGTCAAAAGTTAAAAAGACTCTTTTCAAACTTTTCCAACAAAATATTCGTAAAATCAGATGAGGAAAGTTCTAGAGATTAACAAAAAGCTGTCCATCCCCACAGTGAAACCACTTTGAAGATCTAGCTTTAAAATTCATGTGAATTTGCATTCTATTTCATAATATAACCAAATGCAAAAGCATATACAGTGAAAAGTAAGTTTCACAAATGTTGAACTCTCTTACACTACTGGTGGAGTATAAGCTGGTACAATCACTTCGGAAAACTGGCAGTGTACACGAAAGCTGAATACACGCAGTATCCTGAGACCTAGTAATTCCACTCCTAGGTGCATACACAACAGAAATGCATACGTAAGTTTACTGAAAGATGTGCTCAAATGTTCACAGCAATACTAGTTGCAATAGCCCCAAACTGGAGACTGTCCACAACAGTAGAACGAATAAACAAACTGTGGGATTCATTAAATGGACTACTATTCATGGATGAGAATGAATGATCTACACCACATGCATAACACAGATAAGTCTTGTAGACAAATGTTGAGGAAAAGAAGCCAGACACATATACTATGTATGATTCTGTTCGTATAAAGTATAAAGACAGACAAAACTAATACAAGCTATTAAGAATCAGGATAGAGGGTAACCCTTTTTGCTTCTAGGATGCTGATAAGATTCCAATTCCTGACCTAGGTGCTGGTTACTCTGATGTGTTCATTGTGTGAAAATTAACTGAGCTGCACATTTACAGTTTGTGAACTTATTTGTATGTGTATTCTGCTTCAATTTTTTTTATAAAAAGTCTCTCCTCTAGTCCCTTTCCCCTCCCTAGAGGAAACTTCTGTTACCAGTTTCTTGTGTCCTTCTTGAGATATTTTAAGCATGTAAAAGCTTCTATGTCTTGTTTTTTCTTTTCATAAGTAGCATACAAAACACACTTCCCTTTGCCTTTTTTTGCTCCTCACTTAATATGTTGTGCAGATTGTTCAGTTTCAACACATATAGATCCGCTCTTTGTTTAGTGGGTCTGTGAGCACTCTTCTGGCTCTGAAACCAAGAATTGAAGATCTAAAACAGGTAGTTCTTAAAGACATTAAGGTGAATGAAAGAAGCCTTAGGAAAGAATACACATTGTAGGATTCCAATTATATGAAATTTTATAGCAAGGAAAATGAATCTATGGTGGGGACAAAATTAGAACAGTAATTGTCTCCAGTGGAGTGGCAGTGGGACTAAGAAGAGTCATGAGGGAAGTTTCTAGGATGATGATAATGTCCTATATCTTGATAGGGGTTTGGGTAACAGAGACAGGTGCTTTTATCAATACTCAGCAGTTATACACTTCTAAATGTGTGCATTTTATGTAAGTTTTTTAACTCAGAAAATACGTAAAAGCAACAGATATTGAGCTCTAAGTTAATGATATGCATGCTAAATAGTTTAGGAATGAAGTGTACTGATAATGACAATCTATTTGAAATGCATGAAAAAATAAAATGGACTGGTACAAAGATACTTAGGTGATAAAGCAAGAAAAGTAAAATGTTAATGGTAGAATCGAGTTGATGAGTATATGGGTGTTCATCGAAAAAGTCAACTTTATGTTTGAAAACTTTAAAAATAAAATGTTGGAAGGAAAAGAGAAAGAGAAGCAAGCTGGATATTGCCTAGACAAAATACGATTAACTATTTTAAAATGTATGATTAAGTGGCATTTAATGCTGTAGAACCACCACCTCTCTCTAGTTCCAAAACTTCATCATCATTGGGATTTTGATAGGGGTTACATTTACTCCTAATATTGTATTCTTTTTACTGCTATTGTAAATCAGATTATTTTCTTAATTATCTTTCTGGATTGTTCATTGCTAGTATGTAGAAATGCAACTGATTTTTGTGTGTTGATTTTGTATCTTGGAACTTTGCTGAATTCATTTATTAGCTCTCACTGTGTGTGTAATCTTGAGTGTTTTCTAGATATAAGACCATGTTATCTGTGAATGGAGACAATTTCACTTCTTCCTTTCTAACTCAGATGTCTTTTATTTTTCTTACCTACTTTCTCTAGCCAGAACTTCTAATAAAATATTGACTCAAAGCGGCAAAAGTGGGCATTGTTCCTGATTGTAAGGGAAAATTTTTCAGTCTTTCACCATTGAGTATGTTGTTAGCTGTGGGTTTTTCATATATGGCCTTCATCATGGTGAGGAAGTTCCCTTCTATTTCTAGTTTATTAAGTGTTTTTCTCATGAAAGGATGTTGAATTTTATAAAATTCTTTTATTGTATCAATTGAGATGATTGTTTTTTTCCCTTCATTCTATTAATGTGACATATTACATTGATTAATTTTTGTCTGTTGGCCCATTCTCGAATTCCAGGAATAAACCCCACTTAGTCATAATGTATAACCCTTTTAATGTACTGCTTTGGCTTGCTAGTATATTGTTCAAGATTTTTATGTTAATATTCATAAAGGATATTTGTAATTAAAAAAAGGAAAATAAAGTAATGGAAATCTGTACCTACCATTTAACTTTATCAAATGATAACATTTACCCTTTATTTTCTTCAGTTTTCCTCTACGCATTAACAATATAATTGAAATCCTCTGTGTAACTTCTTTCCATTTCCCATTCAATTTTTTCCCTTTCCAGAAATTGGTGCCATTTAAGACAAGTTGGTGTCTGCCATTTTCATGTGTTTTAATACTCTTACTACTAATGAATATTCCAATAAACAACAGTAAAAGCTTAGAAGTGTTGAGATTTCATAAAAATGACACCATTCTGTGAATATTTTGAAATGGCTTTAGGTTATAATAGCTTCACAGAACAAGTTCAGTGGTGTTCTTTTGAATTACCTGTCTGAATAAAGGTTTGGTAAAACCTGACTACAAAACCACCTGGGTCTGGTATATTTTGGTAGGGAGAATTTTGATTACTAATTCAAGTTCCTTAGTGGTACTGGTTCATGTAGGTTTTTTCTTCTTTAGTCATTTTGTTAATTTGTATTTTTCCAGAGAATTATTTATCTGCATTTTCAGCTTTAACATTGAACTTTATGAAGTTTATATAGTATTCTCTAATACTTAAAAAATTATACTGTATCTTAAGCTATTTACACTTTTCACTCATTATTTGTATCTTTTCCTTTTCTTTGAGTAGTTTTTCCAAAAGTCTGTCTCTTTTCTTTTGGAAAGAAAATGTCTCCAAAGAAGCACCTTTTGGTTTTGATGATGCTATTTATCATGTTCTCTATTTCAATAATTTTAGTTCTTATCTTCGTCATTTCCTTCTTTCAGCTATCTTTAGATTTATCCTGTTGTTGAGTTTCTGGATCTTTTGGGGCTTTTTGGGGTCTTGAAAGTTGTAAGGCAAACTCATACAGTAATATAAATTATTGCTTTTATAAATCACTATCCATGGTGGCTCCAAGTTTCCAAAAGAAAGGATACCCATGAAAGATTTGGATGTAAGATTCTGCTGTGGCCTGAATGTCTGTGTGTCCCATGACCCAATTCAGATGTTGAAATCTGAACCCCAAAGGTGATGGTATTAGGAAGTGGACCATTTGGGAGGTGATTAGGTCATAAGGGTGGAGCTCTTATAAAATAGACCCAACAGAGCTCTCTAGCCTTTCCCACCACCATGTGAGGACACAGCAAGAAAGCGTCATCTATGAGGAAGCAGGCCCTAACCAGACACTGATTCTGCTGGCACCGTGATCTTGGGCTTCCCAGCCTCTAGAACTATGAGAAAAAAATTTCTGTTGCTTATAAGCCACTCAGTCTATGGTAGTTAGTTTATAGTAGCCTGAATGAACTAAAACAGATTCTAATCACAAAACATTAAGAACAAACTACAATTACAAAAAGGTACTGGAGATCCTGACACACTCCCAGCGCCTCGCTCATCTTGGAGTAGTCTCTTTGCACAATGACTACCGTTTCCTATCGAGGTTTGCCTCATGTGGAACTGCCTATGATTGTCCCTGCCTCTCCAACTAGAGTGAGTAGAATTAGGGAAGGGCGATGCCACATTAACCTAAGAAAAGCTATTCATTAACATATACAGAACTGAATTTCTGAAGCTGAAGAGGAGGGGTCCTCAGACATCTTTAACCACCTGCACAGTCTCCCATTTGGATCCCGATGTGGCTATACAGAGCTATACAGTCCTATAAACATTTTCCAAAGCTAAATGTAAATTATATTTTGATTATCCACATCGCTGGTCCCCTCCATTAGCACAGACAATTGATAGTTGGCTATATAATTTATCTACTATTTTGGATTAGCCACACCACTGATCTTCTTCATTAGTGTGGATAATCTAGAATTCTTCATCTATGGCAGCAATGAGGCTGCCAAATTTACTTTATTGTAAATTAAAAATTATCTAAATCTAGATTTCAGGGATAAATTCCAAATGCTTTTAATATATTTCCTATCTACATTAACAGGAGTGACTAGTAAGCAGTATGTGTCCAACTATAATTGTTTTTCCTTAATTGAACAAACATAAATGTTAAAAATCATACCCTCTTTGCTTTAAAGAGGTAAGCAAGCATAAATTGTACATCTATGTGATTTGTGTGGCAGTAGACTGCTTATGTGAATATGTTTGCCACACAGTGTTGGCAATATCTGAATTTTGACAACAAGAATCTAACTAGGTTTCCAGTGTGAGTTCTGTAGCAGTGAAGTAATTCTATTGCAGGGTCCCTCCATCTGTACCCCTTTACTATGGATCTGATCACAGTGGAAATACCAAATCAGTGCTGAGAGATCTCCCTGTGCAACTTCTTTGCTTGGGAGATACAGAAACTGGAGACCAGAGAGAAATAGTGGGTTGCTTTAAGGCACATGGTTAAGTCAGCAGTAGAGCATAAGTTGAGGATCAGAACTCCTTCCTAGTTTTCATATTCTACCCCTTCATTCCATGGTCCTGCTGCTCCAAGGCAGAGGGAAAACTCCATCTGTTGATGGACTCTGTGCAGTACTTTTTCTTCAGACTTTTTGTCTCTCCCCATACCATAGAGTTCTATCCCCAGGGTCTTCACCTACAGGTGAAGGCTTGGTCAGAATTCAAGATGTGACCTGCAATACTAACTACTCCATCCTACTGCTCACACCTCTAACCATTTTAAGCACCTCCTCGCCCTGTATGCTTTCCATCTTCTGTCATCAGGTCTGATTTGATATTAGTTTATTTTGGTTTCTAGGCCAATAGAAGCCTATCTGGAGACTGGGAATGTATTTTTCCATATAGATTTTCTACTTGTCGTGCCAAGGACTTTCCTTCTCTGCCTTAAGATTCCCAGAATGTAGGAGCTCTGAGTCTACTCTTATTGCATCCTGACTCTGCCATGAGCTGTTACTGTTTCACACTTAATGGGATAACTGGTGAGGAAACTCACTCCTACTTCATGGCAACAAGTTTCTGCTTTGATGTCTCAGCATCCCAAACACACAAGTTTGGCCCTTTCAGCTAGTATTAGGAAATGTGCAGGCTGGACAGGGAATCTGGGCATTTGTGGGGAGACAGGCTGGATGACAATGCAGCATCTCTGTCTTCCACTAGCGAGTGTCAGGGTTTGTGAGCGAGTGGTAAAGATTTAACTGAACACAGTATCAGGGAACACTGGAGGTACTGGAGAGCTATGTAGAAAATCTAAAATCATGATTTGGCTAGGTCAAAGTACCAGTAATCCTAAGAACTCATGAGAACTGTAACCATTCTATCGACGACTATTATTTCTCTGACTGATTTTATGAGCTGTATTTATTTAGTTTAACCTGTTCACGTATATTTAAAACAATTAGAGGAATGTGCTCTGACAGATCCTTTATTCTAGCAGGAAGGGGAGAAGTAAATCAGTTGAAAACATATGAAGTCTTACTTCAGGATAGTAGGTTATAAGAAATAAGTGTTCAGAATTACATTCGTTTCGAGTGGTTCTTTCAGCAACCACTCCTGAACAACAGAAAGCTTTAAGCCCAAATGCCACTTAAACTTACGTGTCCATAATGGCCTTCTAGCCCACAGTTGTAGCAATACACTGAGGCTGATTGTCCAGAAGGGGTCTTCGGCTTTTTGGGTGGTCCAGGTTTGGTCTGCAACATGAATATTTGTAAGGATTTAGTAAATGTCAGAAGACAATTAAAACCTCATTCTTTCCAAAAGAACTTTTTTAGGAAAGAGATTCCTTAGAAGTACTGCCTCCTAGAGTTTAGTGTGGAGACCCCATATTCAGACGGTTCTGTGTATTAAAGTGTTAACATGACAACAATTCTTTTATTCTTAACATCAACGTGTGCTTCCCTCCCCTGCCTTGCTCCTCATTCCATTCAGCACTACGCCCAATACTGAGGTAGATATTAGGTATCTGAGATAGAGAAAGAGTTAAAGTCTAGTAGAACATGACAGACATATACACAGATAATGACAAACAATGTAAGCACTGTGACAGAAGTACGTATAAGGTATTTGTGGAGTGGCAAGGGGGATCTATCATTGGATGGGGTGAGGAAGTCAGGGAAAGCTTCTCTTGAAATATAAAATTTAGGTTTATTCTCAAAGAATTAGGTGTAAATCAAATGAGGACTTCTAGGTAGAGGGAAAGGATGCTTTACAGGTTTCTAACTTGGGTGAACTGGTGAGTAGTAGTGTCAACAATTGATTCAGAAAAGTACGGTAAGAAGGAGGAGTCAATTTAGATGAAAAGATGATGAAATCTGTCTTGAATGTTGAGTATCCAGGTGGAGATGTCCACTAGGCAGTTATCTATAAGATAAAGCTTAGAAAACATGTCTGAGCTGAATGTTAGATTTGAAAGTAAGCTGCATAATAGCGGAGGCTGAAATGACCAGAGAGGACAGAGCTGCCATAGCCAGGTGAGCGGCAGTGAGCTAAAGATGGAATCCTGGACACAACATGTAACGGGCAGGCAGAGGAGCCTGTGAAAGGGACAGACAAGGAGAGGTTAAAGGATGCAGAGTCACAGGAGAATACAGTCGCAGACCTTAGAGTAGTTTCAAGAAGGATGAACTGATCTACAATGTCAAATACAGCAGAGAGGCCTAGAGAGAGATTAGAACTGAGAAACATCCATTAGATTTGGCAATTGTTCATGGATAACCTCATTGTGAGAATTTTGGAATCAGTGGGAAGGTAGAAAGTAGAAGGCAATAGGTTGAGGAGTGAGGAGATGCCATAAAGAAGAGCAAGGAAAATGATTACCCACAAAAGCCAGGATGGTGGTTACTGCCCTTGGGGAGAGAATAGCACACAGAGGGTTTCAGGGTAGCTGCGATTTTCTATTTCTTGAACATAGTGTGTTCTTGAGTGTGTTATATAACTAATTTATTAAATTGTACACATATGTTTTATGTACTTATCAGTATGTATATTCTATTTCATAATAAGAAATGTTAAAAAAAACTGATTGGAAGTTGAAGAAAAGTAGACAGTAGGTACATATTATTTGAGAAGCATGAGTAAGGGGCGAAATAACATCAGTCAGCACCTAGGGGGAGGGTTTGGTGGAGTCTGTTATTAGAATGGGAGAGACCAGAACATATGAGGGAGCAGAAAGAAAGGATGGACAAGAGCAAAACCCGAGGTGGGTGGGACGGGCTTTCAACAGGAGAAAAAACTAATTCTCCCCATATTTTCTGGAGATTGGAAGGATGTGAATAAACTTGGATAAGTTTATTTCTTATGTTCTTCATTGGGATCCTATAACAAAGAGCGCCAAGTAACTGGTCTGCCAGCTAATCTTGTTGCTGTTGTTTAGTGTGGCAAACAGGTGGTTTGTGGATGTTTTATCCTTTTGATGTAGGAAAATACCTATAGGTTATAAAAATAATCTTCTTCACATAACTTTACTTTGAGCTCCTATTTCCTAAGATGGAAAATGGGGATGACAATAACCTGATAGATGTTTTCTACTGACAATACAAAATGGAATTTACAACTTCAGCTATTATCAATTGAGATATAATCAAAACACAATCAACAAACATCTTATATTCTCCAATAAAAAATGTGGTTCATGAATTGAGACTAGTTAAAAGCCACTAAACACAGATTTAACAGGTACACACATAAGCATGTACCACTCATTGCAGTGGTTTAAAATTTTTTTTCAGGTAGTAGAATACTGGGAAGACATGCAATTATTAAGCAGAAATAATTTTTCCATCTAAAAGATAACTCTATTATTTGATGTGATATAAAACTGCAACCATGAGCATATGTGGTTTAAGAGAACGAAATAAAACCAGAAGAGATGGTACCATGGATGTGAAGGTAGAACAGATGATGTTCCAAGGGAGAAGTTATCAAAAGCTATTGATGGATCAAATATGATGAAGACTACAAAATCCATTGGACTTAGCAATCAGAAAGCTGTTGGCAACTGGAAACAGCTGTGAGCAGTTACATTTGAGAGGCAGAGGCACAAGCCAGATACTAACGGGTTCATTACAAGTAGAAAGATGCTGAAGAACAGAACATAGATGACTTTTAAAGAAACTATGCTGTGTATGAGAGAAAGGAAGGGGACAAGTAGCACAAAATTTAGGTTCAAGCATACCTCCATCAGTGACATTTACCAGAGTGCTGGACACATGGCACGAGCAAATGTGTACATTCTTTCATTAACCTACCCCCAAAATAATTATTGAGTGCTTAATACATGTTCTAAGATTAGCTGAGAAGTGAGCAAGACAAAAATCACTGCTCATATCTCCAGTGGTGGAAGACAGATAAACAAAATCAATAAAACACAGACATACTCACAGTATCAGACAGTAATAAGTGGTATGTAGGAAATTAAAATATGGCCTACGGGTAAGAATGATTTTTACATTTTAAAATGGTTTAAAATTTTTAAAAAAGGATGTTCTGTAACACGTGAAAGTTATATAAAATTCAAAATTCAGTGCCTATGAATAAAGACTTATTGGAACACAGCCAGGCTGCTTTCCATGCTACAAGGAAAGAGTTATGTCAGAGACTACTCATTAGCCTGCCAAGCTAAAATATTTACTATCTGGCTCTTTACAGAAACAGTTTGCCAACACCTGACCTAGAGTAGAGTAAGTGCTTAATAAACAGGTGGTGAAGGAGTAGATGTTATATAGCCTCCAATATTTTAGAGAGTGGAAATGAATTATGCAGACAATAAAGGTATTTAAAGTAGATATGAACACTGAAAAACACAACAAAAGCTTTATGGAATTTCTCTGAATTTAATTATTTTTACTGCTTATGTTTGAGGAAATTACAAGTAGCCCTAGTGCTGTTCCAACTTTCTGTAGCACTCTTTCCACAGATTAACACGGTACAGATGCTAGTTCATTGCCTTCAAGTCTTGGCTCAAATGTCACTTCCTTAGTAAGATCCTCTTGACCATCCTATTTAACATTTCTAGCTCCCTCCAATTGGTGTTCCCTACTCTCCTTCACTACTTTTTTTTTAAACTCATGACACTTATCACATCTGATATACTATATATTTTACTTGTTTGTTTTATCTATCCTCCAACTCAAAGGGATTTTCATCTGTTTTTTTTTCACTGCTATACCCCAGATCCCAGAACAGGTCTAGGCATATAGTAGGAGTACAGTAAATGTCAGGGAATGAATAATCAGGTAAAGCATATATAAAGTGCATGGCTCAGAGGCAGTATCCAATACATTTTAGTTATTATTAATAACTCAAATACTTTGGGAAATTATATCAACTTTTTATGTCATTAACAGACAACTTATAAAATTATGCTTTAATATGTTAAAAAGCCTTAATAAATTAATAACAGCTTCCTAAGTATCCATCCTCCTTTACCTTGAGAGTGTGCTACGTACTCTGGCACAACCATGAAGGAATTGGTAATACAAAGAGAATAGGAACTCAGTCTTACAGTACCAGGGATAAAGAGATCTTTCTTAATCAAGATTTTGAAAGCATGTTTCGTGTTGACACATTCTATTTTGGAAGTAATTTCACTCAAAAAGCCTCAAATTTAGCCCTATTATTCATTTATGCCCCTGGATAAAGGGCAAACATTTGGATGTTCATTTATCTGAATAATGTCACTAGTTAAAAACTTCCATTATTACTAATAAAAATAGCAACCATATTTATATTGTGCTGTGTGTGAAAATTTAAACTGTTTCACAATAATTAATTAGTAAATGACATGACAAACACTATCTACATACTCTCATTTTAATAAACTATCATGTACTAGGACATAATAGGAATGAAATCAGCCTAGATCTTACCTAATTAGAGAATGTTTCTGTATTAGAATACAGTCCTGAAAACTCAATAATGATTTCCGGTGGACAAGTTTTCATACTATGATCTAACAAAAATCTAATAGCTATTTAAAGTGTTGGAAATATAAATTTGTGACTCAATACTTCTGCCTTGGAGCATGTCTTTATTTTTAATTAACAGTAAAGGTCCAATTTAAAGTAGAATATGTCAACTGATTTGCTCTAAGTTCAAGGTTCTGTCATACACATCTGTACTGCAGACAAAAAGTTAAGTGCAAGGGAATGAACGCAGTTTTTTTTAGAATTTTTTTATAAGTTAAAAAATTTATCTAAAAACTTTGTCCCAATGGATAAGCAAATGAACTATTTATGAAAGCTCTTTTTCTTTTCTTTTCTTTTTTTGTTACATTTAAATAATCTATATTTGTAGGGTGATATCTTGGAGATTACTTTACTATCAATATATAGAAGTAATAACCTGGTAGATAGCATTACCTATGAAAGGTCCATCCCATCTGCTATTCTTGCTGAAAGCTTTTCATGCACCAGTAAACTCAGTAAATATCAGAAGATAAAGCATAAGCCTACCACGCCACGGATTTACTCCTAATGTCTCCTCAAAGTGCAGCCCGATGCAACGATTACAAATGATTTTCTTCTAATGTCATTTTACATAACCCTTTTTTCTGCATGAGTAGTTAGTGCGGAATGAATGAATGAATGCCATTAAAACAGTTAATCATTATCTGGGACACTGGCCTTACTCCCTTCACTACTAGGAATCTCCATGACAAAGGCCAAGAGATCAAAACGCCAGAGCTGCCTCA